GATCGGCAGAAGCAAGGGCGGAGATGTTCCTGCTCCCTGGGTAATGGTAAGCATCCCAACCACCTTTCCATTCTATCCCAAGCATTTATGCACGTTATCCTTGCGCCCCACGTCCACAGAGAGAGAGAGAGAGAGAGAGAGAGAGAGAGAGAGAGAGAGAGAGAGAGAGAGAGAGAGAGAGAGAGAGATTTTTAAAGTGTCATCCTCACTCAGAGCAATACCAGTGTCGAACCCCCGTTCATGAACAGGGGTGTCTGTGACCGGACTCCCATCACCGGTCACAGAAATCCTCAAGTGTCATCCTTACTCAGGGGCGATACCAGTGCCGTACCCCCGTTCATGAATGGTGGTGTCTGTGACCGACGCCGGTCAGGGTCACAGAAATCCTCACCGATGGGCGGTCACGGGAGTCACCGGGAGCGGAAAGTTTTTTTTGTTTCTCTGGGGCTGGGAAGATGTTTTTTTTTTTGTTGGAGGGTGGGGGTCAACGGAGGGTACCCCCCCATAACTTTATTTTTTTTTTCACGAATTTGCAAAATACCCCGAGAAGTTTAGATATATGACAAAATTCCCCTGAAAGTTGTGGGTGGAGCGGAATGCCCTTTTGGGCCGAAATCTTTGTGTTGTGTCCTTGTCAGGGGGCTGTGCAAATTTGCAATCTTGACCTCCCCGTTTGGGCCTTGCCCTTTTGCAATAGCGCCTACAAAAAGTTGGCAAGTACTGGGACATTTTGCAAAGTTGGACCGTACCCGGTAGGGGTATATTGTAAAGAGGGGGGTCCAATTGATGCCAGGGGTATTTCACAAAATATTTTTTTTGTCAGAGGGACATTCCACGCTACCCACATCTTTTAAGGGCATTCTGGCATATATCTCAGCGTACGGGGGTATTCTGCAAATTATCCCTTTTTTAATTAAAAAAGAAATAAATAATCAGGGAACCAGCCATCCAGCGGCCAAGCAGAGAAGCTTGGGGCAATGAGGTCGTCATCCTCAGCGCCAGGAGGGGGACGAGGACGAGGACGAGGTGCTCCCTCTTGTGTGTGTGTGTGTGTGTGTGTGTGTGTGTGTGTGTGTGTGTGTGTGTGTGTGTGAGAGAGAGAGAGAGAGAGAGAGAGAGAGAGAGAAAGAGANGTGTGTGTGTGTGTGTGTGTGTGTGTGTGTGTGTGTGTGTGTGTGTGTGAGAGAGAGAGAGAGAGAGAGAGAGAGAGAGAGAAAGAGAGAGAGAGGCATGGAAGACGGGGTGGAACACAGACCTTCGCGAACAAACTCCAAGGATGTCGAAATCAAGGACGTGGAAGTCCGCGTATCGCAGCAGAAGGTGAACGAACTCCAGGGTGGTGGATTGCAGGTGTAAGGGCGACGCAGAGGCAGCCCTGCTTTTTTGGCGGCCGAGTGGAAAAGTACTGAGTTGGAATTCGAATTCATGGCGCCTCCCTGTGCAATGGCATCTCACAAAGATGCATGCTCCCAGGAGGGCAAATCGCAGAGGCACCATGGCAAATGGGACCGCAGGTCCGGTAGGGGCATTACAAAAAGTGGGGCCCCTCACTGACAGGGGCCTGCAGGAACGTTCAGAGGCCCCAGGTGCAAATCAGGAAAAATCGGCCGTCCGAAGGTCAAATCGCAAATAAATGGAAACTTCAGGGGCATTTTGCAAATTTTCCCAATGTAATTGCAATGTGGGGCTTGTGGCGACCGTGGAAGGGTGAACCGGAAAAAACAAAAACCAAGAAAAAGCATCTCTCTCTCATGGTTTGGCCGTTCACGGGCACAGGGGCATATGACCACCGGTCACCGTTCAGTGGGTAGGCACTGGGCGATACTTTTCTCTAAATAGATCATTCAATGTCAACTGATGTTCTGTAGGGAAATTTTTCTTATTTTGTCTGTTCTTGTGTTCTGCTTTTGCGAAATGCACATTTCTTTATGCTGATGGCGTGGATCGTGATGATGATGATGATGACGTGGGTGAGTGTAGATGATGATGTGGATGATTGTAGATGATGACATGCATGATGATAATGAAGTGGATGATGAAGTAGGTGAATCATCATCATTCGTCATTTGGAGTGATCTGAGAAGGATGAGGTTTATGGAGGTAGAGAACAGGTGTTCCAAGTAGGAGAAGATGATTGTATAGAATGTTGTGGGAAGCTGGTGTTTCTTTTTTCAGTTTTTAATGAAAATAGTAGGTTAATGCTTTGATTAACACTCAATCAATTAGTGATCCCATCGATCAATCAATCATCGATCCATCCATGGATCCACCAATTAATCCATGCACGAATCCATCAATCAATGATC